TCCTTTGGTGTGTGTGCTCTGTTGCTTTTTTCCCCCCAGACTCATTCTGATGTGCTACTGCAGTAAAACATATTTCCACATTAGCTCAAAACAAGCTCAGGAGCCTACATGTGAGTTTAAATACCAAATATACCCATGCTTCAGGAGCTGAGGCCTTGCAAAGGCTCTGTACTAACTTGCACCTCATTTGGGGCTCTGAATCCATTACAGGAATTGAAACTGGGTTTGCTGATAGGAAAAAAAAAAAAAATCAGTTCTTCCTGTGCTCTAGGCCTATCTGCCACTTGGGTTTGGAGAAAGAGGAAATGGAGAAGGCTAAGGTTTGTCACAGATCCTTGAGCTGGCTGTTTCCTGTTGCACCCAGATGATGTAGACGAAGGGGGTTAAAGATGTGCTTGGTTGCCTCTCCATTTTTGACAAATGTGATGATGGAAAGAGCTCAGTAACTTGGAGAAGTCCACACTTTCACCAGTTGCAGAGCCCTGACCGTGCTGTCCAGGAAATGAGACCAGTGAGAAGCAGCCAAGAGGGAGAGGAGACTCATCCTGGGCCTGGGGGCTGCATGACTCCATGGTCAGCCCTCTCCAGCTCCCACTCACTCTGCAGGGCTCTGCTGGGGACAGTCAGAGGTGCTGAGACGAAAGGGCAGGGGCTGGTGAACCCTGAGGCCAGCAAGGGGCTGTCCAGCCCCAGGTGGCCACGGCAGGCACAGGGCCAGGGCAGGGCTGAAAGGAGCCCTTCAGCAGCAGCACAAAGGGCAGCCTGTGGAGGGCAAGGCCAGGAGCTCCTGTGTGCAGCAAGGCAGAGCTGCGGTTCTGATGGATACTGAGTAAACTTGTTTACAGAAAGGCAGGGCTGTGTGTCTATGTGCTGAGGCCAGAGGGCTGTCTGTGTGCCCTTCCCCTCTTTGTCTGCACCAGGCCGGAAATTTCCTTTTCTAATGGAGTAAAGGCAGAAAAAGTTCCACTGATCCTCAAAGCACCTGTACTGGGGGCAGGAACTCTCCATGCAGCAGAGAATCATTCTGCTCCTGGGGTGGCTTCCTCCTGTCCTCTCTGAGGGAGCAGGGAACAACCTGTTAGAGGCCTTACATCTCTGAAGCACTGCAGAGAAAGCACAGAATCTCTCCTACACCCCAGGATCTGAATGTTGCACTCCCCAGTACAAAGCCCTTCAAGTCTCATTGCATGAGCACAACTCACCCAGTATAAGGATCAAGTAAACTTGGGAGTGCATCACAGGAACAAAGTGACACAGGGAGGCAGCACCAGGCACAAACCACAGCTGCAATGCCAGAGCAAGCACATGGAAAAGCTGGCAAGGAGGGGGGCCAGAGCAAATGCACCAAATACTGGAAATTTAAAACAGCATAGAAGAGATCCCAGCTTGGAGAGGAAGCAGATTGAATTCTCACTAGAAACCAATCACTTCCTGCAGAGTGAAATACTGCTAGTGACTAAGAAAAGACCTTAACCTGGTATGGAGGAAGAGCATGGTCAGTGCTTCTGAGAGCAACAGCAAGGCACAAACTGAAATTGTGCTAAAATGATTAATGTTCCACTGCACAAAAATGAGTTCATGGTTTGAAAATGAAAGTATCCACTTTTTAGTGCTCATTTCTTAGTTACTTTGAAGGTTTCCCTTCAAAGAAGGTGTCCTAGAAGGAGAAGATACCAGCTGCACTAATTCTGTTCCTCCACCCACAGATGTTCCAGCCAAGCACAGCGGTGAATTTCCCTACCCATATGAAAGCTCCTTTAAAAAGAATTCCATAATTTGATCTGCTAGACAGCTGGCCAGATCTCCCTGCGAGGCAAGATGCTCAGAAAAAACTGTGAGACAACTGCAAAACAACATTGCTCCAGGTCTTGGAAGGCAGGACAGAAATTCAGGAAAACAAATGCTGTGCCTGTTATCTTGGCCCCAGCCATCTCTTCAGCCTCACCTCCACTGCATTGAGGGAAAGGCTTTGGGGGAAGCTATTGCCCATAAGAGTTTCCACCTGTACACTCAGAGCCCATCAGTCCAGGGGGTTTGGAAGTCAGTTTTTTCCCAGCTGTAAAACCCCCCTGAGACCTGCAGCCTTTGAAGCTCTGCCCCTGGCTCCCTGCAGCCAACACAGCTCTGCTGAAGGCAGGAGCAGATAAAGCTGAAATTATGAACAATCCCCAGAGAAACAGTGCCTTACACAACAGGCATCTCCCCCATTCTTCTTCCCATCACCTCACTGCAAGCAAGTCAGAGCCAGGCACCTTTCCAGCACTGCCCTGCTACCCCAGCTCCAGAGCAACCCCATAGGGATGCACACCTTGGCTTTGGACTGGGGTTTTCATGGACACTTCTGTAGTTCTGCCTAAAGCAGCTGCTGTGCTCCGCTGCAGTAGGGAGCACAGAAGGAATCAGGAATTGGCACACAGGCTTTAGCCAAACAAAAATGTTTCTTTCCATAACTCTAACTTCTTCTTGCTATTAAAAGCTGAGGGACAGCCTGTCCCACCAATGCTCACAATAGGTGCTACTGCCATTCTGCTTAGGAAAAGTTAAAGGATTTTCTCCACTGAAAATATATTCTTGCTCACCAGCAGCCACCAAAGCTAGTTTCCCTTAATCAATTATAATTCAACACATATTTAGGGATGTTTTCAGGGAAGGGAGAAGAGAGAGGGCAGTGTAGGAAAGGATGGCCCAAGCTTTTGGGTTTTAAATGCAAACAAAGCTCCTTACCTGCCAGCACAGCAGGGACCAGGATGCTGCACAGCGTTAGCAGGACCAGGCGAAGGACTCTGTGGCAGGGCATGGCTTCCCTCAGGAAAAGCATCAGCAGGAATCCTTAAAACTCTTCAAAGCACAAACAACTCAGAAATTTCACTGGTATAATAAAAATTCTGTTCAGTCAGGTAAAAAAAAAAAAAAACAACAAAAAAAGAAAAAAAAGAAAAAAAAGTCCTTCACAAGAGCAGCTGTGCAGAGAGAGTGCACAGCCCAGCAGAGCCTCCCTCTCTGTGGCTCCAGGAGCACACCTCCTCCCAAAGGCAGCTCCACCCTCCCAAACTTGTGCCTAAAACCCCATAGGCAGCCAAGCAGAGCCATCAGGACCCTGCCAGGTCAGTGCACACACAAGCAGTTGTTGGTGAGCCCTTCCCAGAGGCCACGAGGATGCTCCTGGAATGCCTTCCCCGGGGTTGGCCATCCCGAGGCACAGGAAATAACACAGGAGCCGTTGGGGCAGCTCAGCCCAAGAGCAAGCAGCCCATTAGAGGGCTGTGCTCTCCCTCGCTGTGCAGGGTGGCAGGGCATTGCAGGGTGGGGAGAGCAAACAACAAGGACCTCAATCTTCTGAGGCTAAAATGCTCTGACACAGAGCCAGAGCAGCTCCATGGCATCCTTATTCCTGGGTGGAATACTTACAGAGCTGGCCTGGGAGCCATGGGTGGTCTCAGAACTGCTGTCAAAGCCTCCAAGCGTTGCAGGAGAGTCGCCTTTGGCAGGCAATGCCAGCATCCTCCTCGGATCCCAGCTCCTCAGGCACCACCTCCTCCTGCCAGCCTCTGCCACTCTGTCCCTGCCTCAGGGGCTCAGGACAGTTCACAGCACAGAAAACCCAGGTTTGCTTCAAATCACATTTGCAGCAACAAAGAATGGCGAATGGATGAAGTGTATAAAAAGGGGAACGCTCCAGCTGATTGTCACAGGAGAAGTTTCATTAGTATTTTGGAGCTGATATGATGATGAATACTTCATGGTTTCCCATCATGTAATGAATACATAAACACCTCCAATGTCAGTTCTTTATACTCTGAAAATATGACACAAGTATTTAAGTCTTGAATTTCAGATTCAGATTTTTTTGCAGCAATTGTTTTGCTTTTTGGAGCCCCTATTTTCCCCATCCCTACTGATCCAAATGATTCTTGCTACAGAAAAGGGCCCTATTTGTCACAGAAGGTGACAAGGCAGTCACCTGAGTGCACAATCTGCACATGACACCACCTTACCTTCATAGAAACACAGAAACCAGAGTATATCAGTATTATGAACAATGTATCTTCCCCACTGGTCCATTATCTACAAATTCCCAGGAGCCAAGTGAGGTCCTCAAAGTTTGATAAATTATTGCACATTTTCCCTGCTTGCATTTCTGCATTTTCATTTAGCAATCAAGAAGCTGTTCCTTTCCTGCCAAGCTCAAAACTAACACACTTTTGTGTACCTGTAACATGGTGTAGAGCAAGCCAAAATTAGCTTGCAGAAATTAGATCATACCACTAAAAAAACAGAAAGCAATTATGAACCACACACCTTATATGCTAAAAAGAGAAGATATTAAAACAAAGTCAGATTATCAGCCTAAACATCAACTGTTCTCTCAGACATCAGCTGAACATCATGCAAGGCTACTGTGTAAGTTAGGCCTCAGCATACTTAATTTCCATGGTCAGGTGAATGGCAGGACATTTACCATTACCTTCACTGGGATTTTCCACACAAAAACAAGTATCAAAAAAGGAAACTAAGTCTAAAAAGAGAAACTTACATGGTTTCCATGTGGACTTTAGGCTGAGGGGAGAAATAAAACACCTTATTTAGGGCAGTGCACTGGCGTGCACGGGGTGGGCACCGATGGGCAAAGGAGGCTCCGTGGCCAAGTGTTTGTGTTAAGAGCAAACCAGCCATGGCTTGATCTCCCCTGCATAAACAGCACCAGCATGAATGCACACGTTTCTCTACAGACAGCAGAGGAAAATTAAAGCTTTCTTGTTAGAAATTTCCAATATCAACTAACTGGTGTTTATTTGAACTCTAAAATTATCAAGTAGAAAAACCAACCAGTATTCCTCACCAGGGAAGAAATAAAGCAGCAGCTGTTGTTCCACATCCTGTGTATTTGCTTGTTGTTTCTTGATGAAAACTGATGCAAGTCAAGTTTGGGTGGGTTTTAGCACCAGGAATTATCTCAATACTCAGCTTTGACAAAAGCAAGCAGAAAGTTTTCTCTCAGATATAATACAACCAGGTTTTATTTAAGTTCTCTCTTTTTTTTCCCCCCCACACTGGCAAAAGTTCAGAGGGAGTTTAAAGTTTTGTAAACATTTTAACTACCCCTCTTCCCCCTTTTATGAATTTACAAAGCAAAGGAGACAGGGAGACCAGATTTGCAACAGTTCCAAGTCTCTCCATGCTATCAGATCCAAAAACTATATACAAGTCTGCAGCAGTCTCTGTATAGTTACTGTACATGTTTGGGGATGGGGGAAGAGAGAGGAGGAGGAGGGGAAGGTGACCCCAAAAAATGAATAAACCAAACAAAATAAAATCCAAAGCCAAACTGCTCTTGAGCAACTCAAACTGTTTTCTTTAGGCAGTGATGACAGAATAACAGACACCTTTATACAACTCCACCAAAACTGCAGCATATCTCCCTTCGCAGGTTACACCCCTCTGGGGACGGGAGATGGGACCAGGGGGTTCAAACTAAGTGCATTTGGCAGTTTTCCTTCTCTGTCCTCTGTGGTGTGTGTGGGGTGGGTGGGTGGGTACGTGGAGCAGGGAAGGTGGTGTTAATCTTTCGGTGAGAGAGGAAGGTTATGACTCCATAAACACTTAGAGGTTATGGATCCCAGTGAAGGTGCGTGAAGTACTTTTAAGGTGTAGAAGATAAGCAGGGCCATCATTGCACAAAGCTTCGTCCTCCAGTGTCTCTCTCCGTGACGAAAGGGCATCTCTGCTCGATACCTAAGCACTGCTTCAAGTGACAGCCAGCTGAGGCTGCTGGCACATCTCTGAAAGCCAGGGTCCACCCTCTCCAGAGACTACAGATCCACACTGTAAAGATCCCACTGTCTCTTAAACGAGACAAATTTTCAGGAAAAGAGCTCAAAATAAACTGGTCCTAACCCTCTGAAGGTAGCACTTATGGGGTAAATTCAGCCTGAAAGAAGAGATGCCACCCCCCTTTTTCCAGAGCAGAAGTCCCCACTTGTCCAGGAAGGCTGGAGAATGCCGACGGGAACTCCACCAGCTTCAGCATCACCACCTAATGAAGACAGACTCGAGCTTTCCCTCCAAAAATTATGTGCTGAGAAGGGCTGGCAGGGGGTGTGCAACTTCAAACCAACCCAAGCTAAACTGTGCCCACTACCGCCCCTCTCCTGTTGCCAGTTTCTAAGGGTAGCTTATGAATGCAACTCCTGGCCAGGAGAGCACCTCTTGCCCTGATGGAGCAGCCAAGTCAGTATCTGTGTGGCATTTTGGTTTTGACCAACATCTGTTAACCACAAACTCTCTCTCAATCTCGCTCTCTCTCTCTCTCTCTCCATATGACTGCACGTGTTGGATGTGGTAAGAGTAACCAGGAGAAGGAAGCAATGCTTTGCAGAATCCCAATTGATTTTTTTTTTTTCCAGGTATGTCAGCAGAATGAATCACAGCACAGTGAAAGCTTGCTGCCCAATTCAGCCTTGTTGTGAACAAAGCCTAACTCCCACCCTCCCGGGACTCTGAGCAAAGTCCACTCGGGTGGGCTGACAGTAGGAACAACGCCTGTGCAGTCCTGGGCAGAAGGGGTTTGCTGGGGCCAGAGGAAGCAGCCTGAGATGATTGATCCTGTGATTCACTGCGAGGCAAAGAACAACACAAGGTGGAGAGTACGGTGTCCAAACGGAGAATCCATGGTTAACAGATGCAGGAAAAGCCAGTTGATTTGCACATGCTCAGTAGTCTTCCAAAGTCTCTATTTCTCCCATATTGAGCCGCTCTGATGAAGCATTCACTGAAAACCCTGTGAACCAAGAAGAATTGGTGTTAAAAACCTGGCTGTGGCATAGTGTACTTGATACAAAACATCTGTTACACATGTACTGCATTTAAGAGAAAGTGAATTTAGCAGTAGTTCAGTAAGGCTACAGATGCAGTCACCCAAACTGGCTGATTTTTTCCTTAATAAACTAAAGATAATCAACTGTATATTTAGACAAGCATCACTTGGTCTCTAAAACCAGATCAGAAGACTTTTCAAGCTCCATTTAAAAGATGCCACGTGCAGAGCTAGTACAAGGCACATCTACACACGGTGGCAACATGGCTCTGCAACATCTCAAAAGGGAATGTGTTTAAGTCAACTGGCTCTTGGAAGTGGCTGTCAACACCATACTTACATGGTCTGAGAGGAAGAAATGGGCATTCTGAGAACTTGCAATCACATATGAAATTATGCTCCCACACCTCAGGTGTTGTGAGCAATTTCACCCTTTAAAGTCCCAATGCATGTACCTATGACATCTAGTAGCAATTACATCTATTTCCATGCTTTTTTACAAACTTCCATCTCAGGAGTACACAGTGAAAATGTACAAAGTTACCCAGGGCCATGCACGTGGCTCAAGATGCACCCCAACTTCTACCCAACCCTTCAGCCACATGTGTTGAGGGCATGATGCACATGAGAAAAGTGTGAGGAAGAGTGAAAACACTTTCAGCAAGGAAACAAATCCAATAAATCAAATGCAGCTTTCCTACTGAAATCCCCTTTTTAAAGGTGTACAAACCCCATCTGGTTATGAGAACAGGGAAAGTGCCCCTGTGTAAGGCTACTAAACACAAAGTTGAACTTCAGTGTTGGAGAGTGCTACATTGGTTTGCTCTGTGCTAGACAACCAATTGCCTTCCACTTCAAGAGGCAAGAAATGCTCTGCTCAGGAGGTTTAGGAAAATTGTTCTGGCTCCCTCATGTGGCACTGTGGCCTAAAAGCATCTGAAATTATTCTGTAAAAGAGTGAGTGCATCCATTTTTAAAAAGCTGCATGGGCTACTTCCCTTCCAGTTGGAACTTCTAAATTGTATTTAATGATTTCTTCTTCACATTACACGAGTTGTTTTTTTAATATATTCAACTGAGTACCAAGTGGATGGGCACGTTGGGGTGGCATAAGTCAGGATTCCACCAGTCCAGAAATCACTGATTTAGCTGAAGTACTGACTTTGGTGAGACCAAGAACAGAAGAAAGACAAAAACCAAAGGCAGGGCTCTGCTAGAGCCATAAAAAAGCAGTGACTTCAGGTGGACAATACCAATACCTGCTTCTACAGCAACTGGGCTCAGCAGAAGCAGCACAGCAAAGCCTGGCCCGGTGCAGTGCCCTGGTTTCCCCACTGTCACACAGGGCACAAACACAGACATTTATTGCACATGAACACAACAGTGACCTGTCACCCCACCGTGTCCATGCACTCACACAAGAGCCTTGTGTGAGTACCTTAAAGTACCTTTAAAGCTACTTTAAAGGAACTTTTCCATAAAGTGCTACAGGGGACAGTTAAAACTAGCCTCACATAAAAATTAAGAGACAGAACATATTAAAGAAATAAAGGACTGCTAATGAGGTCATGATCTCCCTGGTCTCCAACTGAAAATCTGTGACCACTTCAACCTTTGCTGTCTTTTCTGACTATGGTAGAGGTTATCTCCTGGAAAAAGGTGGCAAGGCAAAGGCAGCCTCAGAAAGCTGCTCCTCATAAAGAAAGGAAAACATGCTTTTCTTCAAAGAACAAATCAGCATTAAAGCAATAAAATAGCCATAGGTCAACTCAAAGGAGAAAAGGGAATTTAACTGAAACCGCTGAGCTACTTAAGAGGTTTCCAGGTAATAAGCCAGATATCAAAGAGGCCATTACATGAGGGAAAGTTCAACAAAAGTTTACAGAATTTTTCAAATCATTACAGAATTTTTCAAATCATTAAATAAATAATACTACTGAAAAGATTCTAAAGACATTCCAACTTTTCTACTCAAATTCAGTTTTACCATTTAAGGTCAGTAAGAATCCTCTACATTCCCCAAAGCAAACCTCCACTACCAAATTAAATGTTCATTTTTAAAAATTAAAACAGACCTAACAAGCTGGGATCTGCTCGAACCATTTTCTGTTTCTTCTTTTTCTTCCCGCTCTGCACAGCCTCAAAGTTGGACTGCTGGTTGTTGCTCTGATTGGTCTGAAAGACTGAATGTAGCGAACTGTGGTTCATCCCCCACACTGAATCCTAGAGAACAAATTAAGGACAAGATTACAGAGCACAGTGAAGTATGGGTTATTTATACAGAAAATATTTAGAGAGCCCAAAGCACTTCCTATATCCATGTGGCAACACTAGCTACTGATGTATCCACTCATCTTCCCACAGCATTTCCCAGATCACCATGCAAAAACACTCTGATCCACAGTTGGCCTCAACTGTTAAGTAGTAAAAACTGGAAAGCTGCTTTATTGTCTGCACTTGCCAGGACATTACTGAATCCAGCAGGTGCTGCCTGCAGCCTCTCTCAGCCCCAGGGAGAGCAGAGGCTCCTGTACCTGCTGTTGCTGCTGTTGCCGCTGCTGACTGGCTTTCTGTTTGGCACGGCGCTCGAGGAACTGCTTGGCAAACTCCTTGGCCTCAGGAGTATCTCCCAGGTAGGCTCGGATGTAGTCATGGACCTCATAGGGAGACTCCACTTCCTTCAGGAAAGAAACAAACGTGGGAACTGCAAGAAGAAGGCAGACCGTGAGTGAGTGCATGTTGATAGCAAACACACACATGCAATAAACACCAGAGTCAATTTCTGGCTCAAATATTTGCTGGTCTAGTAGCTTGCCCTTCCCAGTTTCCCACAATAAAGCCCTATCATGCAATGCAGGATGAAACTGGATTCTCATCTATCTGCCAGATAATGCTTCCATGACTACCAGAAATCCTCAGGAGGGCTCTGGCTGACAGACTTCAGAACTTTTTCAAATTCCACTGATTTGCTACAGTTAGGACAACGAAAACCTAAAAGAGGATGCAGCCAGTTCTTCTAGCCACTATCTAATGATGTCCTTTTGCTGAGTGCATTGGAAACACTGGTTTAGTATCATTACAGTCCCTCAGAACTACTCTGTCAGGAAACAGGACAGATATTGCTCCCCTCATTTCTTTCCATCTCTTACCATCTAAGTTGTTGGCTGTGTTGAGTGCATGAAGCATCTGTTCACACCACTGAGTGAATCCATCCTGGGCTTTATTAACCCCCTGGAACAATTTCAACAGCTTCTCCTCTTCTTCTACCTTCTTGTTTTGTCTACTTGTAATACCTACAGATTTACTGAGGTAAAGAAAATGCATATAATTAGATTATCAGTTACCAGGCTTACTCACTGTCCCATATACAGTACAGTGTTGTAAGACTATTTTACAAGATGCAAACACTTTTTAAGAACAATTTTCTAAGTAGGTGACAAAATGAGCTCTGAATGGTCACCTATTAGCTATTTTTGTTGTCAAAACAGATCCTGAATGACACAAAGAAAAAAAAGGAAAACACATGATGTTCCAACTGCGAACTGATCATGCCAGGAGTAGCAGTATTGCTTTGCAAAAGTTCCTTCCCCTACCTGAGGCTGGCATTGCTTTTGTTTTTATTGGTCGAGTTACGAGGTCCCACTTCCTTCACTGCATCATCCCAGAAACCCATGTTTGAGTTTTTGGTATCAGCATTGCTCCAGATGCTACTGACTAGGTCAGATGCCCACTGGTTGCTGGGATTCGTGTTTAGAGAGCCCCACACTGAATTCCCAATGCTGGTGTGCAGGTTAGAGTGCTGTTGAGACATAACAAAGAGATGCTGGTTATTAACACAGACCCAGCAGAAAAGACATGAACAGACAGAGGGAACTGGCCCAGCTGCTTTCCTCCATGTAGTGATTCGATAAATAAACGTACCGTGGTATTTCTGACTCTGTTCGGCTGCTGGTGCTGCTGTTGCTGCTGTTTCTGCATCTGCCTTGCCTCTTCCTGCTGTATCTCCAGCAGGGACTTGGTGGTGCCTGTTGGTTTGGTGACATTACCCCAGCCTGACAGTTTTTGCTGCTGTTGCTGCTGCTGTTGCTGGAGGGCCTTCATTAGTTCACGCTGCTGACGCCTTTGCTGTTGCATGCAAGACATAGTGCTTGTAAATACTTTCATATGATCATTACTATTCAAAAGCCTCACTTGGAAACTGGTTTTAAACAGAATTCACTTTCTTCTGGAGAAGCCTAGCTGACCTGTTATTGTTCTGAGCCATTAACGTTCCTCCAAAAAGGGAGGCATTAGGTAACCAGTAAATAAAAATTGTTTATTAGCCTTGGACAGACTAAATTTATCAAATCATTCCTGCAGTCAGCTTCTCGGAAGATGACCTTCTCTGCTACCGTCACGTGCTCCCCCCCAACCCACCCTCCCTTTAACTGCACTGGTCTAGTGAATAACTTCAAACATGTTAGAATATAGGTGTGAAATAATTGTAAACTGTTTTGTGAATGTATTACACTCCCAGGGTTAAAAGAGTGCTGTTTTCCCTTCTTTCGGATTCTTGTACTAAGAAGTGATAAAAACTTTCACACAAGTGCTTACTGAACCTATGCCTGAAGGACAGGATTTTGAGTTATGCTATTTCAAAAAAACATTCCTCATCCTCACCATTCCTTCTAATAACTGAAGTGACAGCTAAGCAGTCCCACAGCTGAGTCCCCTCTAACAAGTTGCACTCCGCTGCTGTCAGTGTTTACCTCTTCTCGGAGCTGCCGTTCTCGTTCTTCTTCTAACTTTTGGATTTCAGCCAATGACAGTGTGGTCTGGGATTGACAAGCTCCTGAATTTGATTGCTGACCCCATGTCGAAGATGAAGGGAGCTGGGCCAAAAGAGAGATCATGAGGAATTGCAAAATATTTGAGAACACTGCTAGAGTATAATCAGGAAAGAAACTGTATAAACCCAGGGGAAAAGGAAGGCCACCTTTAAAGTTAACAAAACCCTAGAAAGTACAAAATGGTATAATAATAAAGTATGAAAAAGTAGAAAATATAGATTATACATTCTTTGAATTGCCCTCTGATGTATCAGTCTTTGACACAGTATCAAGAATAATGTAACACATCATTACCTGAAAAAGAGCAATCCATTTAGATTTCAAACACTTTAGGAATTCCAAGCTTTAGAAACTTTGCACTGGCTCTCGCTCAAAAACCATGTGGCAAAAAATCCACCTGTGCCCATGTGTGATGCCTTCCACTGACAGAACACTTTCAGTTTTTAATCTGTAACTTCTCTTCCTCTTCCTTCTCTCATCAACTCTTTAGCCTCTTCCCTCTCCAGACTGTTCACCCATCCCTGCTCTGCCTGAGCTACCACAAACACCCTGAATGCAGCTGTGCCTTTACTTCCCATGCTGAAAGCAAGTAAAACTGCAGGACCAGCTTACCTTCATTTGTGCAAGTTGCTGCTGTTGCTGCTGCTGCTGCAGCCGCCGTAAAGCCTCCTGCTGCTGCTGCCTCTGCCTCATGATCTCCTTCTGGCGCTGGAGTTCCAGCTCCTTGCGCTTCCGCTCCTCCTCCTCCAGCCGCTGCCGCGCCGCCTCCTCCTCCATGCGCAGCCGGCTCTCCTCCAGCCGCCGCTGAGCCTCCTCCTCCTCACGCGCCCACTTGGCAGCCTCCTCTTCCTTCCCAGGACACAGAAAGGAATAAGGTCTGAGGAGACTTCACAGAATTTATAATACTCAACTCTGTGGCACTGATATTCTGACAGAACAGAGAGGGACCATGTTATTCGGAAGGCAATACAAGGTTAGAGGAAGTCCTTGGAGTTGTTATGTGCTCCTACCCATCGTGAGCACACTCAAAACACGCCAGGCAACAGTGTGGAAGGTGCTTTGTGTAAGTAACCTCACTCCTGGCTAACAGCAGTTGTAGTACTTTGATTTGGAGACTGTGCAGTGGTGGTACAAGTGTCTCTGAGTTTTCTTGAGAGGCTTTTAGGGATACACTTACAAGAAGGGGAGCTTTCCCTTGGGGTATTGCAGATCTGTGAGTCTGTGTCTGTTTCCAGCTCCCTGCCTTTGTGTTTAAGCAGACCCAGAGAGCTGAGGTGTCAGGGAATGGGTTGGACTCAATGATCTTGAAGGTCTCTTCCAACCCTGTGATTCTGTGATCTGTAATCTGCGCTGTTTGGGTGTTCATTTACCTTTACATTTTTCAGTAATAAAGTAATATAGTCTATATTCCCTAAAAATACATGTTTCCCATTGCTTCACCAAAGAACTTGCAAGAGAATGGCATCTCCCTAATTCACACCAGCTCATTTCTTATTACTTTCCTTCTAGTAGTTACACACCTTTCAGTCTGAGCTTCTGCCTGCTTATACTACTTACAGTACCACCACATTTTCAATGGAATAAAACTTGGCAAAAGTAAATGGAAAGAAGAGACAGGTGACAAAGATGAAGATATTTACTGTTGTTACTCAACAGCACAGTGCCAGAGAAGACACTTCTGCTAACAAATTACAGAAATGGTGATGGACATCTTACAAGGGAGGACCCTGAGAAGGCATTTTTAAAATACTACCTGTGAATTCTGAAATGGACTTGGAAGTTAATGTGAAGCCAATTAGTTTGACCAAGGGACTGTGAGAGTATCAGTTAGGGGACTGGAAGCTCAAGTTCCCTGATAGGGATTTCTAATACTGACCCCAAGGAGAAAAAAATCCTGTTAGTAAGAAAGAAAAGGGAAGAAAAAAAAGTTGAAAACTCTGGTAGTGTATATAGACTTGGCATTACACAGAAAAAACTGACAAAACTGATCAATTCAGATGACAATGAAGATAAAGGCCCAGAGAGTACTAATTCAAAACAAACTGTTATTCTGATACTGTACTCTGCCTCAGAAAGGACTATAAACACTGTGCTGCAAAGCCATTCTTAAGGCTAAACTTGAAGGGAGAACACTCACTCCCACCCAAATCTCTTTACCTAAGGGTGTATTAGATTCTGATTGTTTTGTGTGAAGTCAGGATACAGGTAAACAATCTTTTTTCACTCAATTTGATACTGTCTGCAAGCTCTGCTTTCTCTGACAAAACCTAATTTGACCTCTCACGCACTCCTGCAAGCTTCAAAGCCTGTTTGTTGTGGCAGCCTCCATAATTAAACAGAAGAGGTCCCTTTTGTCATTTTTCACCTGTTTACGAATTAACTCCTCTCGCTGACGTCTTTCCTCCTCCTCTCTTCTTCTCTCCTCCAATCTCCTAAGTGCTTCCTCCTGTTGTTGCCTCTCCTCTTCCTCCCGCTGCCGCCTTAGTGCAATTTCCTGCTCTCGTTGTCGCCTGAGGGCCTCCTCCTGGAGTTGGGAACAAAATGTCAGTCTATAAATGCCATTTTATCAACAAACAACATCAGAACACAGATCACAGCATTGTCTGGCCAAATAAGTGGCCTCAAGAAAAGCTCCCTAGCTCCAAACTAAGCTCTCCCAAAACAGTGCATTAAGCACAACAACCCCACGTGTAGTTCTGATGCAATGTGCATCTCCTACATAAATTATTTTAATGAAAAACAGAAGACATTAATTGCCCATCTTTAGTTTTAAAAATAATGGCCTTGAGATGACAACAAAAGGTTAGACTTTTTTCACTATGCAGCACTAACAGTTGAACATTAGATCTATAAATATTTCAAAGTGTGGGTACCATTAATTCCTTCTGGGGGGGCTGTCAGCTCTAAGTTGGAAGCTTTTCCTACTTACAGGAGTTTCTGAATAGTGACTGTTCAAGAGCACTACAAAACTCAAACCACATCTCCAGATACCAGAAAGAAGCTGATGCAGCCCAGTGCACTTAAGGACAGTTACTTTTGAAGTCTCAAGGGCTTTGACTGGGCTTTCCCTATACTATTTAAATATTATGGGTAATAAGAGGTCTCTTAGGGACTTTGATTTTGTATTATCCCTAAATTATTTAAATAACTTCCAATAACTTATATATTCTGTTTTCCAAGTACTAAAACTGTTTACTTAACTTAAAAATTAAATATTAGCACCCCTTCCTATCAACATAAACAGACATTTTTCCATTCTGCTATTTGGGTTTTTTTGAGGAATAGAGGACAAGCAGCTTCCTGTATATTGTTAAATGGGATCCCACCTGGGGACTTCTTCCACCAGTTCTGACTTTCCCTTGCATAATAATCCATAGTTTTTGCAGCCTTTTCTGACCTCTGATGTTCAGCAACTGAGTTAAGGCCAACCTCCTTTTCACCCCTCCTGTTGTCTGACTTACCCTACCAGCTCAACCTGAAGATCTTAATTTTTGGACCAGAACCTTTTTAAGCTTTTTGAATTTTGTATTTCCCTTTAAAAATGGCCACTACCACAATCACACTCCTCCAAGTTTTTAATAAGCAATACATTATTCATAGGATGAGTGGGGATTAATTGTGCAGCACAGATGTAAACTCTGGTAAATCAAGGAAGTCAATTGTGAAAATTAAGACCCTTTTATCCAATCTGACACCAAAGCTTCATGTACAGACAGCAAGATAAACTACACTACAGTTCCCTGAACAACTGCCCTGGGTTTTTCTCTGACAATGAATTTCAGATGCCTACAACAAAACTGTCAGTTGACAGAAGATCTTTTATAAGTAATCCCATAGCACTGAACAGGTGCTGGCTGCAAGCCAACAATTCATTCATATTCCTGAATATCACTTAAGTGGTTTGGTGCTGGTGCAGTAAGTGGTTTGGTGGTAAGTGCAGTAAGTGGGTTTTTCCACTAGCTGGACATAGAACAATAGCCTGTGATTCATCTTCTCATTAAACAAATCAGATTCAAGTGCAACACATACCACCTGAACCATTTTTGAAATTTGGGCCTTTAACTGTATTAACTGGACACATGCAGTCAAGTCACAATAATCAAGTGTCCCCAATACAAGTGCTGAAAAATTTCTGCTTTTATTGAAATGGCTGAGTAGGCTGAAGGTGTCAGTCTATTTTGTTTGCCTGGAGACCACAGAGCAGGATCTCAGCTCAGGAGTGCTCAGTGCCAGCCACTCTGGGAGCTCTCACTGACACAGCACCTGGGAGAGATGAGCAAAGTCACCGAGTCCTCCTGTGGGACAACCCTTCAGTGACATCTCTGCCCTCCTCCCCCTTGGGAAACAAGGCTAGAATTGCCATTAAAAAAGCTGGACAGATCTCCTTCTTGCTCAGGCAAGGAGAGACACTCTTGAATGACATGAGTAAAAGACTTCTCTCCCCTACAGAACTAAAGATGAACAGTGTTTTACTGACACAAAAAACCCCTGTAAGATATGAAAAGCTGGGAAACACAGCCTTTTTTCTGTGTTTCATCTTCACAGCTATAAAGATGTTGTCTTAATATTTACTTCTGTATCTTGTTATTTGATGTTTTTGTTTGAGCATGTGACCAAAACCATTCAAAGCTCTCCAGCTTTCTGCCACTTACTGGTATGGGAAACAATCAATCCTTTGGTTCTTAGTGTTCCCATGTTTGTAGATACCTGCTCCAAGATATTGCCAATGTTCTTTACCATCTTTCTTAGCAATTGTTTTCACACATATACATCTTGCTGTACAGACAGCTTATTTCACATCTTTTAAAATATCTGTCATATTACAAAAAAAATCCTTAAGCAGCAATCCCCAGTTCAATAGACTCTGGATTTTTAAATAAAATAGAGACTTTTTTGCAGTTGGTGACAACTGCAATTCTGTTTGTCTATGTTACTAGGGCTCACAAATCTTTTTGTTCTCCTCTTTGAAACAGGTATTTTAAAGAGAGAACTAAAGAAATAATTCAGAGAAAACAATTATTAACTGGTTATTAAACCTCAAATTTTGTTCCTGAAAGCAATCAATTATTACAAAATAGAAAATACCAGACCAGAGACAAAAACAAAATACAGGAGCTACACAAGCTGGGCATTACTGTTTTCAATTCTACAGTGCAAAGTAATTGATGAAAACTGTGAACAGAACTGAATTCAACATTTGGTATGACATTTCATCCTACAGAATTGAATTTCTATTAGGTTTGTTTTTGTTTTTTTTATTTAGAATTCACCATCAACAGCATATTTACTAACCTTATATACTAGTCTTTTATGCAGTATTACATCAAAAGCCTTCCTGAAGTCCAGGCAGATTAAGTCTACTGCTTCACCCCTCTCAGCTCTCACTGTCATCTCCTCAAAAGAAGTTAATCAAATTTGTTAAGCATCATCTCCTCTGCATAAATCCATGCTAATAAATCAGTTCATCCCTGATTCTATAATGCCTTTCAGTACAGAAGTCAGATTCAAATAATGACCAGTTTGCTTTTTTTAATACAGAATACAATGTTATTTTCTCTTTCCAGAGAAGTGCTTAAACTCTTTGTTACCTTTTCAAGACATTACTGCTCAGAATTAAGCAATGTGGCAATTATTGCATTGGTAATGAACTAAGATACTTGCTGTTACTGCTTTTCAACCCCGTTCTGCTTCCTTCCTTCGTGTAAATAGTTATTTCCCATGGCATCTCAGAACAGGAGAGTCAGACTGTTAACTGTACAAATCCAAAGTGGACAACAAAACTTTGGAATTTAACAGACACTGTTATACACAGAGGCAAAACTGTTAGTGGAAAGAAACAACCCAAGTCTACTTGAAGCCAGCACAGATGACACAAATTGAGTTACCAGCTGAAAAATGTGTTCTTGTTATTGAACCAGATCTAAAGCAATGAATCTCAAAAGTTCAACTTTTGAGTATATTATTGCTTCAATGTTAGTTTGACCTCCAGTGGAGGATGCTTTTCTGTACAGCATAATGACTTCCTGCATACAAAATAGATGCACTAAAGCAAGGAGCCATTTATTTGCCGACTTGATTCCAAAAGATACCATGAAATTATCGATGTATTATACTGTACCAATTAAAATACACCTTCTGTGACAAAACCCAAACCCTGAGTGAAGAGAGATGAACAATGATCTTCCAAACAAAACTAGAGATTCTAGAGGCTTCCTCAGAAGTGTCTGATCCTTAAAGCAGGAACATGCTTTACAGCTGTTCAAGCTTGTAAGAAATATTATAAAGGACAGAATTATTTAGTACTTTTGCCTAATATTCTTGTGGTACTTTTCAGGACATTTACTAACTAACTCCTTAGTGAAGAAGCTCAGCCTTGTGCTTGCCCTTATCCTTCACATGCAAAGTGAAAACTTTAACTGCCTTTCCCTCCTGCAATACTCAAGGAATAGCTACATTTTCTTCCATACAGAATTCAGAAGTAAATGCTAGAAATGCCAAACTAGTAATGTCTCCATTGTGTATTCCTGGATGATTAAGAACGTACTACAACTCCTACATTGATTCTCCTACTGCAACACTGAACACATAATTCTTTTTAATAAATATGCTTGATCAAACTACATCCCTTCCTTTCCCAAGTATCAACTCAAGTAAAAAAAGCTGACAGACTCTATTATCCAGATAATTTATTTTAAAAAAATAATTTACTAAGTTAAAAAAAACAACAGGGAAAAATAAACTGTCAGATCATTTTCTGTCCACTACAGTCCTCTACCTCTTATTCATGTGAAACAGTTGCTCAAGCTCCATCTACTCTAGAACTTATCTTCATAAAACACTTGACTGCATAAACGGGAAATAAAGATGAAAACATGCAGTAACTGGGTAACTAACTAAAGTCTAACATTGACATTAAGAAGTTGAGAGGGAATATTCCACATGGAATAAAGGCCCTGTTCTCACAAACAGAAACCTATCTTAAAATGAACCATCAAAGCCCATTTCTCAGATTGAAGTTTGGGCTCTTAAAAAAATCAATAATGGAATAATCATAATTTCATATACTCACATGAAAAATATTAAAACTGTCTTCATACACACCTACCAAAGATTACTTAGACCCCACAGGATTCTTAAAGTGAGTTTTATAAATGATTATAATTCATTAGAGATTAACTACATTGGGGAAACTCACTTGCTTCCTGCGGGCCAGTTCTTCTTCTTCCCGTCGTTTCCTCTCATCTTCCTGCTGCCTCCTAAGTAGCTCTTCTTGTTGCCTCCGAAGCTCCTCCTGCCTTTTCCTCTCCTCTTCCTCTCGTTTGGCCCTCATTTCCACTTCTCTCCTCTCTTGCTCTAGCTACAATTCACATAAAACTATACTCAGATGCAGGTAACGTATTCCTACACCATTTCTTAGGGCAACTCTGCTGACATTATAGTAACAGCTTAACAGATGAAGCCTCTGACAGATGCTCTCCCTTAATTGCAATTTTACCTATCAGCTGGCTGCCTACTGAGGTCAGATTCCTGAAACAGTCCAGAACACTTTTGGACAATTTCTGTTTGTAACAAACACCAGTTTTCCCGTCAGTCTTTCTACATCAGCTCCTCAAAATACCCTCTGACTTTAGAAGTGAGTAGTGAGTCGCTTCGCAGTCATCATAAAATAGTAATTTTCAGGAAATGTACAGGATGATAGAGGTTCAAACTCACAAAAAATTTAGTACTACAGTATATGTAGAATAACCACAGAAAATAGGACTCTCATGATTCTCCAAACCAGTCTGGGTGAAAATCACAAGGATTAGGAGCACAACTACCTGGTCTCAACTCAGGGTTTGGCCTGACAGCTCATGATGATCTCAGTTTAAAACAGGTGGCTAGTGAAGAGGTTTTAATCACAAATGTAGAAGACAAACACTATTTCAGAGGTCAGTAGTACCTCCACAGCAATGGTTTCCAAACAGCTGTCCACAAGGATTTCATAACTTGTTTTTATAACCCCTATTCTCTTTATGGTGTTTTCCATGAAAATCTAGTCAAAATCATCCATTGAAGAGCTCAGTCTTCCACTGGCTCAAGAATCACAATTACATTGCAGAAGAGCAATCCCAACTTCTTACAGTACAAAACAGTTTCTGACCTTTGCAGCCTTGGCCTTCTCGAGCTGCTGAAGTTGTTCTAGAGCTGGTCCCTGAGCTGCAGTATCAATGGGCAGATCCCAGACACTGCTTCCTTCCCAGACTGGACAGTGAAAAAAACAAACATTGACAAGCAAAAATAAGCACATGAACAAAACATAACTGAACAGGGAGAATCTTGCGTATGCTGTTACTATGTTTTAGGAACTAAAATCATGTTAACACTTTTGCTTTAGTCAGTAGAGGGCCACCTTATCCTCCTGGATAACAAGGCCAGTCTGTGACTGAAGGAAGGCTGGGGTTCCTATGAAATTCCAGAGAAGAACCAGCTATTCCAGCTCCTCCCATCAGAGCAGAACACCCTTAAATAGAACAATCCCTTCAGTCTAGACTTCCATAACCATTGGAAAAATTACCATATTCTTCGCCTCTCTCAAATGGAACTTCTACTGCCAGGCACAGTAGGCTGATCCAGTTAAACATCATGATGCAGAAATAATTTCCCTTTGTATCAAAAGGGGAGGGATCATCTCAAAGATGCTGGATCTTAACACATGGACTTTTCCCAAGAGCTGACCCAGGCTAAGCACCTTACCTGTAGGCTGTGAAGCTGACTGAAGTTCCCATATTGAGCCAGTGTCCGGCACTGACACAGACCTTGTGACAGGTGGCATCATGTTCTGTTCAGATATTCTGCAATACCAACAGGAAGAGTCAACACGCCACTTCCAGGGAGAGGAGTGCTCTCAACACGTATGAGATTCAGTAACTTGTAACATACTGCTTTCCTTCCACACCTCTATTCAAAACAAAAATATGATGTGGACAACAGTAGTTGCTTGCAGAGTTCTTGCTGATCTCACCCCTGCTGCTAAGTCAAGGGCTAAGCTACAGTTTTGCATTTGTTCCTTAGAGGCCAGTTTGAGGAACAAGCATCCAGTACTGCAGAATTGGCAAAGCTCCTCAGGGACCAGCACAACATATCTGTCAGACAGGTACAATTCAAACTCCTCATTTCCATAAACACTGAGGCAAAGATTACATATATAATGAAGTACTCCATATTCTGAAACTGTTTCCTATTATTCTGAAACATACTTATATTCTCATTACTATCTTTAACACACATAATCCTAAAATATGAGAAAACTTAACTAGGACAGAGAGCTGACACAATGTAATTATTGTTACATACAAACTAGAGCACAGGAAGAACAGAATTCAGTTCAAGTCTGGGCTAGCTCACCTCATCTTCAGGGCCTGGAACTGTTGAAGGAGAATAGCGAGCTGCTGCTGCTGCTGGGATGAGAGGGCTGCCTTCTGCTGCTGAGCCAGCATCTGTGCATACTGTTGTCTTCAAAAGAGAAGCAGACGAATGGTATTTGTTCACTTATGCCCAAGTGGCAGACAGATTCATGCTCTGGGACTACTGCCCACTGACATGTATAATGTACATGCTAAATACCAGAGGAAACCACAGAACAGGAGCTTGGCAAGAATCAAAATACAAGAATATGAGCAGAACCAGACTTCTCTTCACCCTCAGCTATGTCACCTGGCTATTACTGCCTCATGCTTTTCTTGTAAGTTGTGCAACACTACTTCCTTTTTTGTCTAAATTCCATAATTTTAGCTCAAATTAGTCTGGCTTTGATCACTGCCCACCTGCAATCAGTCTCTTCCCCTGTATGTCAAGGCATTGCCTAGCACAGGAGCAGGCTCTTGCCTCATTCAATCATGAGCTAACAATCAGTATTGAAAAACAATAGTCATGACACATGCTTTCAGGATCCCCTGAAAAAGCAGCCTGACTGCTTTCTTTCCTTCAAGCTGTCAGGAGCTGGCCATAACTGAACAACTGACAAAATGGATTTCAAACTGCTTTGCCCAGCAGGACCTTTCACTGATCTTCAAAGAGCTGAGCAAGCAGACCAAAGGTAAGTTCCACCTTCTTCATCTCCAGATCCAAAGATGGGTAGCTTTCTCCTGACATCAAAACATCTGAAGGTCATTACTAGGACACCTGGGATTCAGACTGACCATAACAGCTACCTATAAAGCAAGTCTCACCAAAATCTATGTGTGATACTGGAAGGACTCTGAAAAGAGCCTGGGGCAGACACACTGCCCTAATCCTGTACAATATCAACATCTCCAGTGTTTGTGGAAGCAGCTATTGCTGTTGGAGGTGAAGCACTCCCAGCCCCACTGACTCCCTAGATGACTAAAAATGCAGAACAGAACACAGCCACTGGAAGATCTCTGGGACAAGAAGTCTTACTGTATTAGAAGATGCTGATACTGCAGGTGTTGCATTTGGATTAGAGCCAACTCTTGCTGTCTAGTCAGTCGCTCTTGGTCCAGCTCACCCTATGTTTAGAGATAAAACATTCTGTTTCAATAACATATATACTAAGAGCAGTAGATTGCAAATGCAAGCAATGTAGAAGTTGTATTTTGACCAGAAAAAAAATGAAAATAGAAAAAAACCTAGACCAAGATCAATATTTACAAAGCCTGTGAAATACACAGCACCTTTACATATGACAGTACCCAGCCTCCCAGCCACACCAAGCATTTCTAAATTACATCTCTATTCTACTCCTGCAAAAGTAATCTAACACCAAGTTCAGCTTTGGTGCTTGGAACACCTGCAATTCCAAGACAGAGTAGATGACACCTAAATTCAATTCCCACTTGTTAGAGGAATATTTCAATACTGTAACTGTCACATAATTACCAGATGTGGAAGTGGCGCTGGGCCTGGAGTGAAGGGAACCCTGCCCCACATTTTCATGATGTCTCCAAGTGGCTGGAAAGTCTCATCACAGGCTCTCTTCACCAACAGTGACATTGTGAAGTATCCAGCCTGGAACCACTCTGCCATCTCCTGATTACTGAACGGACCTAAAATCACATCAAGCAACACGTTGTGGGGAAAGGGAAGCAAGGCCAGGTTCAGCATGTTGGAAACAAGGAGCTGGCTATGGTCACACAGTGCCCAGCACCAGGCATTGCTGTCTGCCTCACCCACTCATGGGGACACTGCTCATCCAAGGCTGGAGTGTCCATGCACACCTGCACAGGGGCTACAGCACTGCCCACAGCCTCAGGAAAGGTGCATGATGGCTTTCACCTTGCCTTGGAGGGAGACAGGTCAGCTCTGGGGTGCTAGCCAAGCAGCCACCACAGTGTGGGGCTTGGTGGAGCTAATCCCCCTGCTGTCCTCCAGAAGCACTTACTGCTTCAGGCTCACAGCAGCTCGATTCTAAACAAACCACCCTCCCTGACTATTCCACGTCTTCAGGCTGATTTCAAGGTTTCTTATGGATTCTTTACAACTACTTGAGTGGTCACATTCCTTGTTTGTTTCCACTGTTATCTGGACATCTGAGTAACTAATGGCATGTGAAACAGGTTTTAGTCTAACCTAATTTACAGGAACATGAAGTGATGGCAAACCTCAGCCCCGATAAAGCACCGTTCCAGACATTCAGCCTGCTGAGCTCATGGGGGCAGTGATGGGTCAAAGATATTTTCAAAACCTAGCTCCAGAATGGTAAATTCCCTGTGCTGCTTTTGTAAAAAGAAGCACCAGCATCTGTTGGTGGTAATTCTGTGAAGAACTCTTGAACAATTCTGTGAAACAGAAGAGGAAGTGTAAATGGCACAGACCTACCCTGAATTTCTCCTTGTGGATCTTTGTAGTACCACTTCTGCATGGCTTCGTGAAACAGGGGCATAGAGGAACCCTTTGCTCTGTGCTCTTGGATTTTTGCTGCTAGTCTTTCATCATCAAGGGCACTGTCCTGCAGATATGCCACCATTTTTTCTGCTTGCTGGAAGAGACATCAAAACCAGCAAGAAATACAAGTGTTAGATGGGGGCTTAGAGATTTGGAAATGAGTGTACCAAACACAACCAACCTTATGCTACCCAGTGCTCCAGAGTGTACCAGAAATGACAGGCAGCCCCAGGACAGGAGTGACTGCTCCACAAACCTGGAGCTCTGTCTACCACACCTGTCAGGCAGAATCCTGAACAAGCACAATTCACCGGCTACAAAAAGCTTTAGAGCAACTTGCCAAGGAGGTCCCATGCAGTACCACAGTGAAAAATAAAACAGGCATGGGAGCATGAGCACAAAGAAGGCTCTACACCTCAGCAGTCACTACAATTTCATTAATCATTAATTCATTAGTCACAATGTTGTGACTAACTTGCAGGATTTTTGGTTGGGCTTTTGTTTGTTTGATGGTTTGTCTGGGGGTTTTAACAGACATACATAATTTCTCAAGGCAAATCATAATGCTACTTAACAGTGGTCATAAGCACTATGGTCTCTAGCTCTTTAAATGGGGTATAGCATAGAAAAATACAACAGTCTGAATTATTTGCACAAAAAAAAAAGAGAGAAGCAGCTTTCAGTATACATTGTGGAGTGTAAAGTTTTAGCTGCATTTCTGATTTTATGGGCTTCAAATATTTGCTGCATTCCACATTCCTCCAGTCTCATGACTGTCAACAACAAAGGAATTAGAGAAATTTTACCTGCTCTAGGTGTTTGAGGCCCTCTTCATCATCTGGATCAGTGGGAATGTTGCCCATGCCTGGAGCAGCTGTGACAGGTGTTTGAACTGGCCGCAGAGCAGGATTTGAATTGGAAACAGGAGGAGAAAGATGAGCAGAAGCAGCTGTGTCTGCAGAAATCTGTGGCAAAGGTTGAGCAAGAGAAGCCAAATCTAAAGAAAAATGTTTAAGTTAGTCCATTATCTTTAACATAAATGACAATCACTTTTAAGAACTTAATGCAAAGAATATTCAACAGCTCAAATTTAGCACCAAAGCAAAAGTATTTCCAGATCTTCCTGAATGTATTGCTAGAGTACAGGTACCCAGCCTAACTTCAAGGAACAGTTTAGTTCTATCAGGGCAGAACTCAGCATGTTTGAGCATATCCCATTTCCTGGCCACACACATTTGTCCAGACTATTCTGCTGTACCACAGTGAGGCACATCCACAACTGGCTGATGTTTCTCTGGACTGCTTTTCAGTGTAAAGTACCAGTGCACTGCAAGCATCTGAAATGGCATATCCAACAAATCCTGTATTTATAGACCAGTTGGTGAATCTGGCTTTCCATCACCAGTCCTTGCCTCTTTTAAGGGGCAAGGATTATTCACAGTGAGTAATGGAAACTTACTAAATTTATCTGTCAGGTTTATTACCTTCCCCTCTGTTGGACATTTTGGCTGACAGTGTATTCTCCACTCGATTCTCTTTATCTTCTGTTTTTTCTGTTCTTTCTGGCACAGACTCTTCCTTCCTTTCAAAAAGGTTTGTCTGCAGCGGGTCTGGAGGCTGGGATTTCGGTGGGGTGTCTGACCTGGCAGCTGGAGATGATGCCTGAGCTGCTTCTTCCACTGCTTCTGTAACAAGGCACAGGTCTAAGTAACTGAGTTTACAGAAATTCTACACTGACAGTTGCAGGAGAAGTCCCCCCTACCTGCCACTATTCTCTCGGTTTTCTCCCCCTCCTTCTTGGTCTTTTCATGATCTTTGGCTTCTTCATTGTGGCTCCCTTCAGAATCAGACCTTTCCTCCCCTTCCTCCACAGGCCTGAAGTCCATCTCCTGCTCCTCTGGTATTGGCTCCTTCTGCACTTTCTGCAAAGTCAACGCAATCATCCATAACCCACCTGACATCACAGGACATTTGCACCGAGTCACCCAAGGGCCCAAAGCAGCTTTTCACCTTTAAAGACAGAAACGCTCCAGAGGAGTCAAAGGTGCCCATTTCCTCCTCTGCATCCTCCAAGCACCACTCAGGGAGACTGTCCCTGTCGTCGTCCATGCTGCCGCTGCCGCAGCGCACGCGGCGATAGCTCCGCTCGTCGTCTCGGTCCCGGAAATCAAACTCGAACCTCCGCCGTCGCTCCATGTGCTCCCGCCAGCCTGCGGAATGAGGGCCGTCTAAGGCAGGGAAAGGAGCTTTACCACACAGTCCTGGGGCACTGCTCACACAACGGGGGAAGGACACTGACAGCAATTGAGAAAGCTGCTACAGGTACAGCCCATCTATGAACAGGCAACTTCAAGGATAAGGCAAATAAGCAGAAGACTTTCAAGTATTGTCTGCTGTATATCCTCACATTATAAACTGTGGAATAAGCATTAAAAACCACATAAGGCTAAAAAAGCTTGGCTACAAAATCTAGAAAAAGCACCAAAATAAGACAAGCAACATTAGTGCCAACTGAATTTACCGGCCATCATTGATTTAAGTCTTTTGTGGCACCTTTACTTGCATAAGATTTCATGTTTTTCTTCAGGGGCTCTGCAGAAGTTGCATCCTGAACAAAACGCCCATTTTTTGCCTCTTGCCCTCAGATATGCTTTTGTACATATACATGAAAAATGGAGTGATAACTGTTCAAATACCTTTGAAAGGACTGGTCAGTTTCTTGAATGGTCTTTTTAACCATGGAGTATGAAAACTTGGAAACATAAGAAATGGGAGAACATTCCCAATTCATGTAAAAACTTCATATTCAGAAGACACCATCATTCAGCCAAGCTTCAAAATCCCCTGAGTGTAATAATGTTATTTAAGCTGTAAAGAGCTGGCTGCTAAGGAAAACAAATTGGGAGCGAAAGGACTGTACACAGCTTTCCATGAAATACAAGCCATCTCTATCACAAAGGTGCAAAGAAAGATGAAGGCACCTTAGAGCTTTTCATGGTGGCTGCTCTTAAATGGATACAAAAATAAGTAAATTCTTTTTTTTTTACTCCAACAATCTGTGTACCAGAATCAGTGCAGCCCCACAGTATCAACTGTCTACCAAAAAACCCAAACCACAGTAAAGGGGAGAAACGTGGTCTGTTTCATGACTGATGAATGTTTCCACACTGACCTTAATACCCTAACTATTAATATTAGCCATGCAAAAATCCACCTTTGTCTCAAAAATCCAAGAAATGTAAAACAAACTCCTTCCAGAAAAATTCTCAACTTCAATCTTAAATTTTACCAAGGAAACACGAATGTTATCCTTTAACAAGGCCTTCACTATTCCCTATGTGCTTATTTGCAAATAATTCCACCAGATAACTTAACCTATGCTTCTAGTTATGCCTTGCAAAGCAAGTAGTATTAAACCATCAAATCAATCTTCTGAGGCAATCTTTTTGATGGTATTAAAGAAAGAGATTGAAGTGTGAGAGGTTGTTGACAACCAGACAGCATTTCTGATGGAGTCCCTGGACAGACAGCTCCTCATTACAAGCAGCCATGTCCATGTCAGGGCTCCCAGCAGGGGAGAGGAGCCTCTCTTTTTCCACAGCTCACATGCCAATACCAGGGGTGCAGCTCTTCATAGTGAGACCCAGAAATGTGGTTTTGAAGGTAAATTCTAAGCACTTTGTTAAAGCCCAACTATCTTCAAAGTTCAAATGAAGAACCATTTAGTCTGCTTGCAGAGATTTAGTCACACCACCTTTTACAGCCCCCACATTTTCAGAGCTATGTAGAGAGGCAAAAAGACATAGGTGTAGCAGACTCATGCCCTTGTTTCTTAGTAACAAAATGTGTTTGTAAAAGCTCAGTTAAATATAGGTCATAATTCAGGTCTGAAATATCAGGCTGCCAATCTTTTAAAACAAGCCAAGAGGAGAGATAAACCTGAATTCTTACCTGAAGTTTTTTAGCCAGCAGTTAGGACACAAACACAGCTTTAAGTTCAGCCCCATACTATCACGAGGCAGTAGTTACATGTTCAATATTTCAAGTGAAGAGACAATTTCAAGCTTAATTTACGCCTTGCAACTTATGGTGAAATTGTAGTTAAAAGATAGGACTACTGGCTGCTTCAGGAAATCCAAGAACACATTAGCCTTATTAATAGCTATTTCTCTCTTCAAAGTTATAATCTCTAACTCAGCAGTGAAATTTTCAATATATACTAAAGAATACTAAATGCTAAACAGAACACTTAAAGGAATAGCACACTTTTTTGAGTATATATTATATATAGACCTAGTTCTTAGCTCAATTTTGGAGCAAGATTCTCTAATGTACCTTAGTTGCTTCATGATATTTAAGAAATGCAAGGAACAATGCAAAAAAATTCAATTCTAGTTGAATTACAGCACCTGATTCTGAAAGTGGAGTGAATCGAGATGAATTTGAAAAGCCTTTCAGACAAAGCAGCAACTAAAAAAATCTTTATATGAAAGTACAGCTTAAGGCCTCTCTCAAATGCTTCTCAGGAAAAAGACCAATTTGAAGAGCTATTTACGCAAAGACACAAAATTATATCAGAAATTCTTGTTAAGAAAAACTTATTCCTATTCCTTAAGGCTGATTTGGACCAAAACCATAAACATCTATAGATCAGTCACTAGTTTTGAGACCACAACAGGTATATGTATATGTTTCTGACAAAACAGACTTGGCCTTGTAAATTTAAAAGGCAATCATTGTAAGGATGCAAGAATTGTAACAACAGAGAGGGGGCTTTTAGACATTTATAATTTTAAAACATGGTTAAAAGTTTAAAGGAAAAAAAAAAGGACTTTGAAGCAGCCAGTGAATCTAAATCTGTGATCACACTCTTCTAGCAGTTACTAAAGGCAGTGTAAAGATCCTAGCAGGGAGTACACAGAGACAAGCCACAGGAAGGACCAACTAAACAAATGAAAACAGTCCAATGAAGACACTTCTCTTTTTTTAGCAGGACATATGACTGTACTATTACCTAACACCAGAATAAGTACAAAGAAGTAGTTTAAACCATGCCAATTTGATTTAAGCTCATTTTAAAAGCAAAAATGTGATTTAAACCATTTTGATAGTTCTGTGGCTACTACTAAGAGGAGAAATCAAACGCAGCTCTGATAAAAGCCGGAACTAGGGCAATACAGCTGTCAGTTCAGGCTATCTCAAAATTAGCAACTTTTCTGCAGATTCACATAAGCCTTCAAACAGGCTTTTAATGATAGCTGCTAAAACTAACTCTGTATAAAGGAAGTTCAGTTAGCTTCTACTACACTGAAAATTCAAATAAGCAAAATTTACATGACAGAATTGAAACAAATTTTCAAAACCTTCCTCAGAACAACCAAAAAAGTTCAAGACCTGAATGAACTTCTGAACTTTGAGGTCTATGCTTCCTTTGAAGCTAAAGCATGCAGGCTGGTACTTGTAGAACACTCCACTCCTGATTATCATGCTGCATCATGAGGTAGCTGGCCTGGTGTTGCCTCAACTAGATAACAAAGCAGCAGTGTCTGCTCAACAACTGTGACCAAACACTGGGGAAAAGAAAATTATATTCTTCAAAATTTGCCTCTTAGCCTTGCCCTAAATAGAAAACATCTGATGATAAATCAAGCCTTGGGCTCGTTGCTAAATTTTAGTACAAGAGAGCAGCTGTTTGAGAGCAGAGTTACACACAGCTATGAAGAAGGCTCAGAACAGAGGTGATGGCTGCTCCCAACAATAACTGTACTGAAAGTCTGGGATGTTGCAAAGGGCAACAGAGCCACTGCAAGAGGAACTGGGACTTTTTTTTATTGAACAGAAGAAATTGTCCATCTCAGCTCCAAAATTGTCCGGTGCTTTCTTTGCTTTCCAGCATGGAGCAAAGGACGCTCAAGCGGGGGGAACTTATCATCCCCTAGAACTACCAGAAAGAAGGTTTAGATTGGGCATTAAGAGCAATTTCTTCACTGAAAGGGTTGTCAAGCATCAGCACAGATGCCCAGGGAAGTGGTGGAGGCCCTATCCTTGGAGGGATTTAAAAGCCATGTAAGATGTGGCACTTAAGGACATGGTTTAGTGGTGGCCCTGGCAGCGCTGGGTCAATGGTCGGGCTCAAACATCTTTAAGGTCTTTTCCAAACTTAACAATTGTACTATTCTATAAAGATGTAACAGTAGAAAAGCCTACTCCTCTCCTGGTACTCCAGAAGCCTTCTGCAGCCAAAAGATAGCCACACCCAGGATCCCACACCAGGTATGACTGAATCTTTTCCAAAAAGAAAGAAAAAAAACAACTGTAATATGTTTCAGTCCTACTACTGAAATACCAAGCTCTGCTTTTTATTTCTCCTTCAATTCCAGCAATACAATGCTGGAGAGCAAGTGAACAGACTTGCCCTGTCAGGCCTGGGAAGGGGAGAGTGAAACCAAACAGGTTCTTGAAATTTATTGAGACAAGATATCCTGTAACTAACTACAAAATGTGTAGAGCAACATATTTTGAGATTTTCCAAGGATGCTTCTTGGCATTGCAAACATATCTGGAAAACTAGAAAGTGATCAATGACCAGAGTGATTTAGTGCCAGTGTCACTCTGCAGCATTAGGTATGTTGTCTAATGTGGGTGATTTCTGTCCCCTTATTGTCACAGCCACAAAGAAACAGTACTATTAAAACCCTCTAATTTTACCAGGTACATACACACCTGGAGCACAATACAGACAAGTGCACACCTGGGAAGTAATGTTCCCTTAAATATGTAAGGATACTGAAGGTGCTAAAAGGAAAACAAAAGGCAACCATTTTATGCTAAACATTTCATGACCAAGAGCCTCACACATGCCAGAACAGTATTCAATGACCAAGACTATGTGAACCTATTTTTTCCTGAACGTGGCACCTCCCTCTCCTCATGGCCTTTGCCCTCTCTCAGTAACCACAGCTGCATGTTTGCCCAGCTCTGCTCTCACCTGGACTGTGAGGACGCCACCTCTCCCCATCCCTCCGTGACCCAGCCAGTCGCCAGCCTCCATCCTCATCTTCCCCATTCTGCTCCTCCCTGAAGATGCGCCAGTTCTCGCTCTCAGAGCGGATAAATTCGTGTTTCCTCCCTGCGGGGACTGTCCCACCTTCCTCAAAGTTTGGTCTCACTGCAAAGAAAACACAGGCCAGTGAACATGTGTCCTGTCTTTAGAAACACAGAAAAACAAAAGGGTTGAAATCTTGCTCTCTTGGAGGTAAAAAATGCACTTGAAGTGGTTATAGGAACCTAGAAATAGAAATTCAAGAAGGAAACATGACAGATTTAAGAAATCCAGGTGCCTATGTACCTTGGGATGGAAAGACCAAAAAAAAAAAAATCCAGAAGTAAGTAAAGCATATAAGTAATTAGAAAATGGATAGGAAAGGCAAAGGAGGAAAAGGCAGTTTAAGAGATGTAAGGAAATGTAACAGAAAGAAGGCAAAAGTGTGCAGAGAAAAAGAATAAACTGCTTTATCATGATGTGTCTCAAGCTAAATGGGAGTACAGCAGAAATGTTTTATATAAACCAAATACATTTCCTACTTCTGTAATAAAAAGAAGGTGAGTTCTATTTATTTTATCCAACATACAGCAGTCTAACTATTAGAAAACACTGAAAATTTAAAGTAGCATTGAGGAATAAACGAGAAAAAACTTAGCAATGTAAACATGATGCTGTGAATCCATCTTCTGGAGAGCCAAGGTCAGCACATGAAGGGCTAGAAGCAATTATGCCTGGGCTGAAGGATAAGTCTACTAGAAGTTTAGGAGACAGGATAGTCTTTTAGTTCCCAATGTACATTATGTTGTATTTAAAACAAAACATAAAATCCTCAAATACTTATGAAGAGAAACCATGTCAGAAAAGAATGATATAAATATTTTTATGAGAAGACTCCACATTATACACCAAGATTTCCAAGTCATACGCCAGTACGCCAAGGTTTAACACAGATGCTGCTTCACTGCTGACCTGCCCTGACAAGACAGCCCATCACTGAAATAAGTTTTCTTCAGCTGTGTAGCACCAGAATTGTCACAGGAACCAGAGTGATGTCATTTCTTCACTGGTACTGTTATCCAGCATTAACCTGAAGTTGTGGTGTTATCTATAAAAAGAAGTTCTCAAGTACTAGAGAAAAGTATACTGAATCTTCCTTCTTAAGAGTCCTAAAACCCAAAAATGTAAGATGCTCTTTGGTGAAGTCTGGTTGGTATGCTGCTTTCTTAGACAGGAAAAACACAAGAAAGTATGATCATGTACTAAGACTCCTGGGGTGGAAAGAGACATTTTTAAGTGTTTTGTTTAGGAAGCATGGGAGAATGTTTTCTTAGCATCAGGCAATTTTTTCAGTCAATGAAAAAGATGAGGAAACAATGAAGATCTGAAATTCTATGGCATACCAGACCTCTGTTTAGAACATGAAAATTCTTCCTGCTAAAGATACTGCATTTTGGAGACAGGAAGCACACACTGGCTTTCTACTTTGCATGCACCTTGGAGAAAAACTGCCATCCCTTCTCCACCAGCTCAAAACATTGCAGGGAAAAAACCTCTCTCTTTCTCCAGGTCTAATTTTTCTGGAATACCTTCCCCTTATGTTGTTCCTGTTGTTCTGTTCCGATATGAAGAGCTAAAGCACACTGGCTGATTTAAAGTCCAGCACCAGTACCAACAGGCAATGTCAGCTGTGAAGCCAAGTATGACCCAGTTACACCTTTACTTCACTGAAGGGCACATCTGGCTCAAGAGCACTTCTGGATTTGCTGGGCTTTGAGAAACAAAATCTGCAGACAGTGTATTTTGGGGAGTCCCTGGTAATACTCCAAATACAACAAAATTGCTAGAGGCACTCAACTGCCTTCATTTGGTACATGTGATGCTGGCTACTTTTTATCTGGAGTAGATAAATCTTTGCAGATGAGGGGCCACCACATTCTGTATTCCCATGCTTCATGGAAAAGACAGGAAAGGAACAAACCAGATAGAAAAATCTAAGTCTGGGAATTTTATGGTTTCTTATTTTTAATTTTTGTTATCTCAAAAATGTCATGCAAACTACAGTAACAAAAAGTGCAGGGAAGCCTCTCACCATTGCTCCTTGGATGGGCTTCCCAGAGTAGAAAAGCAAAAGGCAAAGCTGGAAGTAAAACACAGAGAGAGGTGTGCAGGAGAGAGCTGCAACCCAACAGACATGGGGAGCATAAGTCCCAGACAACAAGGAAAGTGCCTCATTCTTTTTGAATTTATTTTTAAAATGCTACAAAGAGAAAGAGAGATCCAATTTTTTTCATTTTGCAGCACAAGACATTAGTTTCTTTTCTTACTAAAACAGTTACCAAAAGAAAAAAGTTATTTGAATCACTATTTTGGGACATAAGAAGTAATATTTTTACAGATTTATCTATTATTTTCAAAAAACTCACAGCTATTACTTGACACTTATTCAGTAACAATAATTTTAGAGATTTTAGACTCTACCAATTAAGGGGGAAAAAAGGGATGTTCTTCCCTTCCATTGTAAGTTCAGTTGATTCTGGAGACTGCTCTTTAACACAGACAAGCTCTCAGCTCACAGGTCCTGTTCCACCCTTCCAAAAACATTTAGGAGAAAAGGTCACTTAAAGAATATTGTGCAGTCTACTTTGCCACAGTATATCCTGGTTTTAGCCCCACTGCACATCTACTCATGCTATAAGCAAATCAAGGCAACTCAGGTTCTGTTAGTCCTTAGGACAGCAGATTTTGTTCCCAAGAATGGAACTTTTTAAAGTCAGGTTTTCTATGCTGAACTTGCAGAAAATGGGGTTTGAAACACATCTCTATCTCTGTAGAGGTTACAAAACATCAAACGTTTGCCAACAAGATCAGACTCAACTGGGATCCTGCCCCTCTTCTGATTTTAAATTCTGTGGCATTACAAATGTAGAAATCAAAAAAAATCAAATATAAGGGGTCAGCATTGTATTTATCTGAGCATAGGATCACCTGTGGTTCCAAAACCTTTCTGAACACAGCAGCACTCCAGTGTCACACCAAAGCCTGTTCTGATGCCACATTCAGTGGAATTAAGAGAAAAAATGCAGTGCCTCATGACATACTTCAGTTTTCTGGTTTACTCCAGTTTTCTAGAACATCACAGCAAGCATCAAAGAACAAGGTATGTGTCCTAACAGGTCTGGCATGAGATGATCCTGAAGATTAGACAGACCAGCCAAGAAACTGGTTCTTTACAAACACAAACCAGTCACAAGTTAAGGACCAGAAAAATCAAGCTACCCAAGTGACAGAAAGACTCTGACAAACTGAATACAGAATATTCCTACAGATTACATCTAAATTCATGACTTACAAAGTGCCAGCATATTCTTTGCAAACTGTTTCTAGATTTGAGAACAATCATTTCAGCTGAAATGACTTAGATCACAGAGTCAGGACTTGGCAATGTTTTAAGGATGAAAGAAACTAAAATGCAATCTATGGTTTTGCCTTGGACTAATTGACTAGACTTCCTGAAGAGAAGGAGCAGTAAAAGGGCACCTCTGTTCAGGCCTGTCACAAAGCCAGCAATGGTGTTTACAGAAAACTTCAGACAGAGTGAGTGGTATCCAGCCAGAAAAGCCTGCAGCTGTGCAACACTGATTTGAAGGGATACTGACTGTGCAGAACAAGACTGGATTCGGGGATGTGGCCCCATGGCAACGTGGTTATGGAGAGCACTTACTGCCAGAATGGCAAATAACTCCTGCTCTCCAGGCTGGCAGCCCATGTTTCCTACACCATCCTCACTGTCTGCAAAGAATAAACAGGAAAGCAATGACTGGCAGCACTGCTGTTTCCTCTACACAGGGGCAAGAACCAGGAGAGTCTATTAAGAACTTGGACTTGCTCTCTTCTCTCTGCTGCCTGCTACGTAATTCCGCAAAAGGAAGATAAAAATAAAAAACTTTGCAATGTTTTAAAGAAACTGAAATAACTTTCCCTAAATGCGTAATTGCTTCATTTATTTTACAGAAGAATAAAATAAATGTCCTTAAGATGATGCTTCTAGAGAAAGACTACCTTCTCATTGGAACACTACAGGACATGCTAGAAACACCAAAGGAATACAAAAACCATCAAGTGCCTCCCAGTGACAGATCAGAAGTTCTGAATCTCATTTCTAGCTTGAAATTTTCAACCTCTCTGCATAAATTCTCAATCTCAACAGCAGGTCTCAAAAACATACTATCAAATATAACCCCATATTTTTTCACTAAATTGTCCATTATCTACTGTCACCAGTGTGAGTGAGCCAATAGATTCAAAGGAATTAACGAGAGTTTAATACTATAACACACCTGAAACACACTCTGCACCTAATTTCACCTGCTATACAACTCTATAAAGATTTCCAACTCATTCAGTTGAATTAGATTAGAAAACCACACCAGTGACCACAGAGTAAATGCCTTCTACAGTTCAAAAGATGGCTTCTAAGAAAATACTGTTTGAACCCAAAATCCTGCTTGTGACTAAGTGAGGCTGTCTGCAGTGGAGGGAAGGGTGAAGGGCAAGCCACACCATCCTACAGCCTTGTCACACTGGTGGGAGTCCCCTGGCACTACATTATTTGCCCTGGTTTTCAAAGTCACACTATGCCTATCAACTTTCAGTGCTGTGCCTGAACATGTATTAAAATGTTCCATTCTAATGAAGCAAAAAATTAATGTTTTGCAATTTAGGGTTGGGGGAAGGTTAAAGAAGGAAAAATAGGGAGGATTTTGTTTCCTAAGCAGGAAAGTCTACATTAATGATTTTCCCAGCAGGCCTTCAGTAGTTTTACTGCAAACAACCACGGCCTTTGTTTCTCAGATCCTCTTACATCTGACGTTCAGTCAAAGCCCTCACATCAGCAGCTCACCAAGGGATAAAAAAAAAAAAAAAAGTGAACCAGTAGTGTGTTCCAGAGCTGTCCTCAGAGCTGGTCCAGCAGGAAAGCACACTGACCACTCTGCACAGCTGCTCACTCAGACATACCCTCAACAAACCCTCTCATTTCATGAGTGAAAGAGCAAACAGCTTAAACAAAAGTGGTTTCATCTGCCACATGGAATCAGCAAGCCACCTAATCTGCCTTGTTTCAT